CGAATTCGAATTCAGTGGAAAAATGCTTCCCAGCATTTAGCAGTCTGCATTTTATCAAATTTTTCATTATTATTATTTATTATTATTATTATTATTATTATTATTATTATTATTATTATTATTATTATTATTAATTATTATTATTACATTAATGCAACAACAGTCGATCTTCTTTTTTTCGATCTTCGATTCATAAGTTTCTCCTCTAAATGGTGATTATTCATTTAATTAGTCTTATAATTCTTTTTGCTTATTTATCGATAATAATAGAAATAAAATTTTCATCATGCAATGCTAAGATGAAATTTCGCTAATGTCGAAGAAAATAGGATTTCGTGATACGAAAATATAAACTATATGTTATTCGTTTCATTTTCCATTAACTGGAATAGATCTTCCAATTAAATGTTATTTTGATAATTTTAAATGATATATCTCTTGTTGATTTGTTGGCTGGTAGTGAGCATTCATCACTTCTCGCTCTTTCGATTATTAGAAAGACGCTCGGTAAGCCGAAGAATCACTTGGAGATGGAAGATGGCATCCAGATTTTCTAGTAATAAATTTTTCTTGCCAAGGGGAACTATGAAGATTCAAATACTGCAGTACATCTTCGGCGAAATAATATTTTATTGATTGGCAAATAAATTTTTTGGATAGTTCTCATATTTACCATGAAAATAATGAATTCATCGATGTGTACAAGATTAACTAAATGGATTCTAAAGGCGAAAAGGATACAAAAAACATTATTTTTCGCAAATGATTCGGATAAATGGCCATTTATAAGAAAAATTTCCCTCATGCTTATTATTTATTCAAAATTGAAGGAAATCGAATAATTAAATAAAAAATGAAGCTATTAATGTCTGATTGGAATTTTACAAATTTTAAATTTTCTCATTTTAAATTTACTAAATTTTCTTTGCTTCAGTTTAAAAACCAAGAATTTAGAAAAAAAGTTTCAAGAGCATCAGAAAACAACTGAAATGCTACTTATAACAAATAATCCAAGCATTTTTTACAGTTGAAGAATTATGTAAAATAGTTGGTAGTGAATATATTGAATAATTTAAGAAAAAATCACTCGAAGAAAGAACTTTCAAGCAAATTGCAATTTTCAGATGGTTCAATTAAATGTTTTTGTGACAAAACAAATTGTGAGGATTCATTAATATGCACAGGAGACATATGCCTAATAGGATTTCGAAATGAAGGTTGAAATTTAATGAATTCGCTTATATGGGTTGGGGAATAAAGTTATCGAAGACCTCTCGAAGAATAAATTTAGTTACATTAGTCTGGCTAAACTTAAAAAGGAGAAATAGTATTATTTCGCATAATACTTCCATCCATAAAATGTAATAATGTTTGAATTATAGGGAGTGATTCAAGAATTGATCAACTTTGCGGTACTGATGATGCAAAAGAACTGCAAAAATGTGAGCAAAATTGGAAAGGATGGCAAGAGGTTTGCTCTTCTTTCAGCATTTTCTGAATTTAGAATTTGTTTAGAATTTGTTTGCTTAAATTTGAAACAACGGAGAATAATTTTCAAAAAAGACGAATTTTATTGAGGCAAATATTGTTTAAAAATTAAACGAGTTTTATTCTAGACAGATTTATTAAATTATTTTATGGTTTTCTTTATTATCAAAATCTTCCATAATTTCTACTGAATTTCTATTGTGACAAAACAATTGAATTGAATTTAATTAAAGATGGTGAGCAGACTATTTCATTAGTTAAATATTTTCACAAATGAATTGATCATTGGGATGGAAGTCAATCCCGTAAATCCCAATCCCAACTTAGTGTTATAAATGATCCGCAATAATTTCATTGCTCATTATACTGCGATCGTTAAACTCAGTTCAATTATAGTATGCGTTATAAGCAAAATTCAGACAATTTTGCAAGTACAAATTAAATTTTATTTCTAAGGTTTTACCGAAGAGCAAATTTTACTCTTCGGTTACTCTTTGGATTCCATAAAAAAAGGATATCGAAGCCGAGGATTCCACTAAAAAAAATAAAAAACAGAAAATTTTAGGAGGAACACTATAAAATTGGGTGAATAAAATTCAAAATGAAGCTTGGACAAAATATTTCTATTCGAAGAAAAATTAATATTTCTGCTTTAGAAATATAGAGAAGATCATGCATATTTGCAGTGAGGAAAGCCGGATTAAATCATAAAAATGAACATGCATAACTCATGTTTTCCAGTTTAATGGATTTATGGAAATTACCAGAAGTTGAAAAAAATTATTGGGGCTGTTGCTAAATTCTGAGTGCCGATGGTGAGCTTCGATTCCTCGCAGCAGTGAACCTATCCATAAATCCCGGTGATGCTGGCGACTCACCTGTATTTCTATCGGCAAGGGATTCCCTAGCATATTTAACCAGTAATGGTGAGGACTCCTAAAATATTTCTGCTTTAGAGCAGTAGACATGCTCTATTACTATAAGCGAATAATTTGCTGTACTTAATTACTTAATTCATTTTTTATTAGTTATTAATAATTAATAATTGACCCACTCATCCACGAATATGACCATTAATCATAAAGTTGGCAGTTTTGCCACTTCTTTGACAAAGCCTGGACCAGTAAAAAACTATGTCGCTTTCATTTTTTGCTTTTTTAAAGTGTTTTTTAAAAATGTTTTCAACGTTATTTTCGATATTCAATGAGTCTTCAATGAACGGATAGATGCCAAACCAAATATTCTTTGCCTAAATTAGCACTAGGAGAGAACAAAGCGATTATTAACCATGGGTCTAGTGATATAGCTATGAACAAATTTCATTGAATCCTAAGGTTGCCTATGACGAATTAGAAATAAATGGAAAATAGCTTATAAAATCCATATATATATATATATATATATATATATACAGACCAGGATAAATTATTTAAATCTCAAAACCCATGAAAAATTAAAGTTATAAATCTTAAAATCCCATCATGCGCATTCCCATCTGTTATCTGTTATCCATCTGTTATCGAACTTTTACATAAAAAAAGCAGCTTAGCACTATTTAAGGAAAATTAGCTTCGACAATTTCGGCAATAGTCGAGGCGAAGGAGCACTGCATTATGGTTTAATCCGCTGCTTGTTTAATCCATAGCGATATAAACCAGGTTTTGGCCAGTTAGAAGTACCGTCGGGATTAATGAGTTTAGCGAATAAATAAATATTTTAAGCATTTTCATAAACAGAGTTTCCACTTCATTTTTAAATTGGTTAATCCAGTTTTTAAAAATGATTGCCTCGAAATTTGAAATTTTCGAAGACTGCTATTGTTTTCATATGAATGAAAGAATAATGAAAGGAAATTCCATGTAAAAAAAGTCAGTTACTAAAGAAGTTCCAATTTAAAACTGACCAGGTTCCCCAGCTTAAGACGGAGAATTTAATTCCAGGAATTAAAAATTAAGCTCAGTTAATTATTAATTAAATCGCTTTTATTACTTAACCAATATTAAACAATAAATATTTAATAGAATTCTAAAAATAAGCGATAAATGTTCCAAATGTTCCAAAATTTTTACAGCCACTACTAAATTTGGTGTTAATTTTATAGCAAAAAATTTTCAGATATGTGCTTGCAGCGAAAATTTCTGTAATACATTTACTTATCTACGAAGTGCTATTGATCAACAGAATGCACGAAAGGACCATTCTCTACAAAAAACTTCCTTCGAGGTAGGTACTTAATTTTTTTTAAGTCCACACGATTACTGGTTAAACTCGCTCCGCTGGCTTGTCGTACTGGACTCAGGATTCCCTTGGCGATTGAAGTGCAGGTGAGTCGCCAGCATCACCCGGACTTTTGGACAGGTTTACTCCCGCGAGGAATAGAACCTCCGCATCGGCGCTCCGAATTGAGCAACAACCCACTAAGCGTTCAATCTCCCCATATAGGTTAATTGAGGTTAATTGATAAAGTATACTAATTGCTAAGTAATTATTATTAGTTAACAGCATATAATTAGTAAAGGAATTGGCGATGCAAGAATTAATTGCTTGGATTCATCCTGGTAGGTTGAGTTTAAAGTTTTACTGTCATCAGCTAATCGCCCATATTATTTGGTCGATCATATTTATTTTTAAATCTTAGTTCAGCATTTTCAAGAATAATTTCTGGTGTGATTTTAAAAATCTCTCGACTGAATTGACTTTGAAATTGATTTTGTTCATAGAATCCAATAAAAATTATTGCTGAACTAAGATTGAAAAATTATTGCTAAAAAAAGATGCTGGAAGGAATCCCGTCAGCATTTATCCACAGCTTTGATACACAATAGGCCCAGGTAAACCGGTGGCACTATGTACTATTGAAAAAACAACACCTACCTATTGTTTACAAAATATTTTCTCATCAATAACCATCGAACCACCAAATGAATTTAATTTGATGTATTATTTTAAAATTCATTTTTACACGTTTTTTTCAGGAAGAAAATGTGCATCGGAGGGTTTATCATAGCAATAATCTTATTATATTACTTGTTATTATTCCATTATCAGTTGGCAGTCTAGCGGTGTGCCTTATCTTCATCAATTATCACTGCAAAATGTGTTGAGCAACAACCCACTAAGCGTTCAACCTCCCCATATAGGTTAATTGAGCTTAATTGATAAAGCATACTAATTGCTAAGTAATTATTATTAGTAAGCAGCAGATAATTAGTAAAGGAATTGGCGATGCAAGAATTAATTGCTTGAATTCATCCTGGTAGGCTGACTTTAACGTTTTATCGTCATCACTTCAGCGCCCATATTCGTTTGACATTATTTGGTCGATCATGTTTATTTTTAAATCTTAGTTCAGCATTTTCGAGAATAATTTCTGGTGTGACAATTCTTGCTAATTTCTTGGTATGGTTTCCTAGACAAAAAACATAAAGCGCGAAATCTGTGATCCTAAAACGAGCGAAAAAATTTGATATTGATTTGTTATCAATAAATAATAATTCGATGAAAATCTTGAAAAATCAATTCTTGCTTTTAAATAAATATTTTTCTCATATATTTAGCATTCGAAATTCTATTTCGATTGCCTTTTCCGAGAGATATTAATTTTAAAAATGTTTTTAAATCACTTTCAATAATCAATAAATTTATTTGCCAATTCAAAAGAATAATAAAAACTTTTATTCCCAGTAAAACTGAAGTAATTATAAAAATGAAATATGAAATGAAAGCTTTTTACATAAATAAAAATGGAGAATTTTTGCAACTATCTTTGTTATTTCTTAAATATTTATTTGTATTTAATAATTTTTAGGATTTTGTTTTGTTCAAATACCTAAATATTTTCTACTAATTTAGATTAAGTAAGCACTTCTTTTTTTGCATATAAACCCACAATTATCATAAAAAGATATCCAAACTCGGTGAAATGATTTTACAAACTTACTCGAAATTGAAGTACATATACAAAAATATGCAGTATATCATTCATTAATAATAAAAATTTTAATAATATTTATTTACTCTGAATTTCTCGATTAGTCAAAAAGACTATGCAAAAATAAAAAATCACCGATTTGTCCTTATTTAGCAAAAAATTATGAGATATCTGTGTAAAGTTACTGAAGAAAATTTTTCAAAATTCCAAAAAACTCGAAAATATTCAGAAGATATCTTCCTATTAGATAGATAAGCTGTAAAGACTTTGTCAAAATTTACATTCCAATTGCATCTTGTTAGAACTGCAATGATTACCATTATACTCACAAAAAATAAAAAGATTTTTACGAAAAAATGGAAAAAAAGTAAAAATAATGGGTTAAGCGAAAATATCTCCGCGCAAAATACGCAAAAAAATATTCTAAAAATTTGTGATAATAAAGCTGAATGATTTCGATTTTTTTTAGACTAAATAAATTTAGTAGTATCAGTAATACCAAATGGCAAATTTAGAAATTTCCCACAAAATAAATAAAAGGAAAAAATCGAAAGCAAAATTCGAAGATCTAACAAAAAAAAGTAAAAATCAAATGAAAAAAAAATTATGAGACTTTCGTACAAATTTTTCTAGTCAGAAATAATGATTATAGTTTCAAAATAGAAAATAGAAAAATTAAACTATTAAAATGACGTAAAAAAATTTTCACAAGATATAACTGCTGGTGTTTTCTCAATAGTTTATCGCTTAAACAACATTCTTCGCCCACCATTTGTTTAAAGAATTTAAAAACTTTAACATCCTAAACGCCATACAAAATTTTTATTTCTATTAATTTTAATAGAAATAAAAAAAATAGAATAAAGAATCGACAATCAATCTTTCATTAAAATAAAATTCACACTGCCAAACGATTGAGAACAGCACCAATATAACAAATAATGCACTTTTTTTCAAAAATATCTGCAATTAAAAAAAAAGCAGTCAGCAGTACAATTGAAGCATTATCATTAGGGATAATAAAGAATAAACTAGCTGATAAAAGAGATTCGAAAAGCTTAAATGATTATTTTTATTGCTCATTGATTATTTAAAAGTAATATGCAATCTAATCAAAGTTTTTCGAATGAAATATTTTTTTCTTAAAGAAAATAAAAAATAAACAGTTGAAAAAAAAAGAATTTTAGAAAACTTTTTTTCAGAAATAAAACACAAGTAACACAAGATTATGGCAAAATTCATTGGAATCAAGAACTTTATGAAATCACCAGAATAGAAGGGATTTTTGTCACTTATAGAAATTTTTAATAAGATGAAAAAAAGAAAAAGCTGAAGTGTGTAGGCACAGATAAAAAATAACTTTTGGCAAACGCAGAAACGTTCGAAGCATATTTACAAATAATTACAATAATTATTAAAATATGCAAAATATAACAAGCTGAGGTTGCTCAATGGACCTGTAAAAAATTTAAAATTTTAAAAATTTTACAATGATTTGATTTCTTTTATTTCTTTTTCTTGTTTTCAATTCGATTTGAAGCACTTACTGTACCATTCTGTAAAATGCCAAATTAATATTTTTATTAATTTAAAGTAAATTAAAAATTTTAATTTTCATTCCTAAATTTCTTTTGGGCATATTCCTCTCATAATTTGATGAAAATACCTGAGCCAACCTGTGACCAATCGCCACAGCTTTGTGCATTCCTTCTTGCGTAACTGATGATAAGAAATTAACCCAAGCCCATGCTACAGCTTTGTCAACCATTATGCCTGCATCTCGGAAATTACCACTGTATCGAGAATAAGCCCATGTACAAAGTGCAAAAATAGCTGAAAAGAAAATATTGCAATTAAAAAAAAAGCAGTCAGCAGTACAACTAAAGCATTATCAAAATATTTGCTTTTGCATGCAAAATAGAAGAACTGAATTTAGGATCGAAGAACTTTTAATTTTAATTACGGCAACTTATATTATAAAATTATTGATTAAAATCAATTAGATAAGTTTTAAAATTAATTATATATACCAATGCAAAGCGCTGTTGAAAATAAACCGGCAATAGAATCAAGTCCAATAAGTTGGAAGAATTCTTGAAGAACATAATCAAATATCATGAACGCAACTAAAACAGCCGGCGTACGCATTGATTTGAACAAATTTTTACTGTTATTCATTTTTACGAAACTTCCATATTGTTCCTGAAAATCTCATATGAAGCTGACAGCAAATATTCAATTAGAATAAGCACAAAAATAAATTCTATAAGAAAAAAACTAGCTATAACTTCTTATTCAAGAAGCTTGATTAAGAAAAAACCTCTATATCAGCCTCAAGTTTTTCAAGAAATTGGAATGAAAATTCTGTTCCTCCCATTTTACGAGCATTTTTGAATAATTTTATTGCTTCATGATGAAAATGTTCATGATGATCTGCAAGATCATTGGAACTCAGATATGGCGCATCACCTCCGCAAACCTGAAGTATGAAACATAAGATTAATATAAAAAGTTATTATAAGCCATTAGTAGTTAAAAACATTAAAAGATAATAAAAAAGGATCAAAAAATCGAAACAACCTCTTCCATTTGCTTTACATAATGTGCTTTTGACGTTGATACTGCAGCTAAATTATTGGCTTCTGCAGTGGCCTAAAGCAATTAAATTATTCAAAAAAGAAAAAATAATTATTATATGTTGCAAATTTTAAGGATTGGCTAAAATATTAACCATTAACATAGATTTGGGTTCCGGAAGATCTTCACCTTGGAATATAGTAACATATGCCTGAAATGTCGAATTGTTCAATTCGAAAATAAAAAGGTTGAATAATAAAATCTAGTCTAATAAAATCACTCTTGATTTATAACTCGAAATTACATTTGAAATATGATTTTTCAGACGAAATTATCAAAAATAAAAAAGGAGGAAAACAAGATATGAAATACCTTGAAATATTCGACAAGTTCACGGCATGTTACTTCATTGCCATTTATCTTTTTCATTAAAAGGTTCGATGAATCTAATAAACGAGGAACAAGACAACGTAATTGTTGTTGAAACTCCATTTCGATATCTATACAAAACAATATAAATACAAAACAAGTAAAAATTTCTTGCAAAAAAAAACTAAAAGCAAGAAACCAAAATTTTTCACTTTTCAACCTCAAAAAATAAAATCTATCATTAAAAATACCCGAAATTTCCCCTCTGAATAAGGGACTAGTCGATACACGAAGACCTGGATGAGGCATTAAGAAACAAGAAATTGACTCAAAGCACGCATAAATATGACGTCTTAACTGTTGTAGCTCTACATGTTGTTTGGATGATATCTAAAAATTTATTTATGTATAAAATAAACGAAAATATTATTTACAAACAAAAAAAAAGAACCTGTAATCTACGATCGAGTAAACGTTCACCTCCTTGAAAACCATATTCAGCTTCATAGGGAAAACTCCAGTCGCGAACAAGAAAGAGAAGCGACTAAAATGAAAGAACTTGGAGCAAAAAATTATAAGTAGAAGTATAAATTAACAATATAGTAGGAATTCATCAATTACCCCTGGAGGAAATCCAACATCACAATTACTAAACTTTCTAAATTATCCGTTTGTCACAATTGATAATATAATTAATAATATAATAATTGATAATATAATTAACGATTTAAAATGCTAGATATTTACAAACACCTCCAATTCTTGCAAAATATCTTGCAAAATACTACATAAAATTAACAAACAAACGACAAAACTTTAAATAAAGAAAAAAAAACATAGAATATTTAATATTTAAGTATTTAAGCGAAGCATTATATCAATAAAAGAATAATAACGACATAGCTTGTGAGTCATTCCTAGCTATATTTAAAAAAAGATTAAATAATCATTTATGACATCATTTAAAAAGATCGGCATCATGTAGGAAGTGTGAAATCTCGATTTTTACCATCCGATTATAGTTGTTTCGAATTATATTATATTATATTATTTTGTAATTTCCTCTTTATTTCATCTTTAAATTGTTAATTATTGTTAATTATATTTTATTTTTATATTTTATTATTATTTATTTTTTATATTTTATTATTATTATTTTTGTTTCCGTCATTAATTCTTATTATTTATTAATTCTTATTATTTTAACTGTTATTATTAATACAAGCACATAGCGTCACGCCCTTCTTGGCTGGTTTTCAATAAATAAATAAAATAATACTCAATAAAAACTAGGAACCTGAAACGGTTTTACAGTTGTGCTTTCCAAAGCTAGTCGTCCATATTCTGTAAATAACTGCAAATGTTGTAAGTCATCTTCTTGTACATTGTGACTTAAATTATAAATCTGAAAGTGACTAAATATCAGCACATATATATTACAATATCATAAAAAAAAGATGAGTAAAAAGGTTGAAAAAAGCTGTAAATTCCAATAAATAAAATTTTTCTATCATGTTCGGGGTTAATTATTTCAATTTCAATTGGATAAACCTGAAAAAAATAAAAGCTGAAGAAAAATAACATTAATAATTACATAACAACATTAACTAGAAACAATTTAAAGAAATAAACAATTAAATAAACAATTTAAATTTAAAGAAAAAATTAAAGAAAATAAATAAAAAACTAAAAATTAACCTGCATCGACGATAACATCGTAGATAAAGCAAATATTGTAGCACAATCTTTGACCGTACTTTGACTATCAAAGGCACCTTGCGTATCCATTAAAAGTACTACAACTTCCTCTCCATTTCGATTTTTGACAACAAATGGTTTCGCCCATAACATAATTCCAGACGTTTCTCTCTCACTTCCTGCAGTTTACGAAATTCATGACAAATTTTGGAAAAAAAAACAGAAATTATTTAATAATCATCAATCATAATAGATTTTTTAAACTGACATGAAATTGAACTTCTTCATAAAAACTCTCAAACAAACCTCCTCTCCAGCTAAATCCGTTAAGATATGAATCGCCATATATCCAGTCTCCATTTTGCTGTGCTACTAGATCAGCTTGCAAATAACGCAAAAAAAAGTTTAATAGAAAACTTTTTCCTTTTCGAAATGCACCCGCCACACTTATAATTGACACCTTACAATATAAGAAAAAGATAAGCAGTAAATGTTAAAAAACTTTAAAATTTAAATTTATCTTAATTGAACCAAAAGAACATGGACTGATAAATATGGAAGGAAAACTGTAACCTTGCATTCAGTCAAATAAGGACAATTATAATGGAAAATATTTCAACACATCTATATTAAAAAACAGATATAAAGAAGTTAACCTTTTTATCAGTAATTTCTGGAACGAGAAGAATACGTTCAAGAGCTTCGATATCGAGACGAAACGAATGGTCTTCTTCAACTGTCTCAATAATCCTTAAAGCATCCATATATTTTTTATTTGGCGTTATCATATTTTCCTCCTCAGATGCATCACGTAATTCACTATCTGCTCCAAATTTTGCATCATTATTATCCATTCTATTGTTAGACCTTTCCTGATATTCACCAAATTTCTCGTATCTATAGTTGTTGTCAAATATATTATCAGTTCATTTTCATAGAAAATATTGCGAGAAATAATTAACGCAAACGCAATCTTTCTCCAAAATGATAAACGATAATCATTGGTCTTTAACTGGCCTTTTCACTGAATTTATTGAACTTTTGCCATAAATAAAATTTCAGTTAATCAATAATTATCATAAAGTTCCATCCATTTAAAAAAAGCAATATTTTCCAACGACAGAAAAGGAAATTATATTAGAAAACATAAAATTAGATGGTTTCGTCAACCAGCAACCAATCACTATCAGTGATAACAGCTAAAAATCTAAAAATTAATAAAAGAGGATGATAATTTTGGAAAATAATAGAAAAAAACTGAACTGTTTATACAAAACACACCACCAAAATCAATTAAACAAACCATATAAAAGAGTTTCAAATGCTCAGGAAAAAATATAATTTTCCAAAAGTATTGTGAAAATAATAAATTTTTAGAATCTTGATGAATAAAAATAAAATGATGAATAAAAATCAAACAGAATTAAATATATACCAAATTATACTGAAATTTTAAAAGACCTACAGACGGAAAGCAAAATGGTCTTAAAATGTGAGCAAACTGCTTGATACTTCCTCGAAACTCGTTATATTCCTTCGATATCCTTCAACATTCCTTCGAGATCCTGCAGTGCTATTTTACCGTTGTCGAGTTACCGTTATCCACTATCCATTATGCATTATTAACTGTCCCAATTCCTTCTACATTACTGTTTTATACCGCCCCCTTCGGAATTTATTTTAAACTGGGGCTTTAACTATTAATCATGCTTAATTTTGGGCAGCGGATTCTAGCACGATAAGCCAAAATTCCAAAATTTAAATCCATGGTGTACTTTTTTTCGAGAGGAAATGTGCATATTGAACAAGCATTTCACTGTATAGACGATTTCACAAAAAAATGATGTTAAAAAGCATTTTCGATAAATATTTTGTTTAAAAAGTCAAAATATTTATAAAAATATCGAAAATTGGATACAAAATCCAACAAATTAAAATTGAAGAATGGTTAAAAATTAAAGTAAAAAATTGAAAAATGAAATATAAAAGAAAAATATCAAATTATGAAAATAAAAAAATAAAAAACAGGAATATATTCGTATTTTTAAAGATTGAAAAAAATGGACCTTAAAAAAAGTTTTCTAAAAATACAAAAAACAAAGTTTTCTAAAAAACAAATTATATAGCGAAAACAATAAAGCGCAAAAATATTATAAATTTTACATAAAATAATAAACTGTGGAAAATAAAATATCTATGAAAATAAAGAAAACTGTTGTTGTTCTTTGGTTATGTAGCAGCGCAGGTAAGAGGAAAATTTAGAGAACTTTCCTTTCCTTCTGTTTTTCTTTTCTTTCATTGCCGTACTCTTCCTTAATCGACACTTTCTTCTTCATCTGATAGCTTGCGACAATGCTTTTGGCTGCCTCCGTTAACTACTGGGATCTCTTAAGAGTCACCTGGTGGGTGGATCCTCACCAGCTCCAGCACTGAGTTCCATCCCACCTTAATGGGAGGTCTATGCAAGAGAACGGAACAGAATCCGTGAATATTGGCCACAACATTCATATCAGCATTCGTCCCATAATCTTTTTCTATTTCTGAGGCGAGGCGATAGAATTCATTGTTTATAAGCTGAAGAATGAACTTAAAACTTAGAATTTCTAGGAAATATTAACCGTTTCTGATTTTTTTTAAAAAATAAGCAAAAAATTATTTGGAAATTTCGAAATTAAAGTAAATCGACAAAGGTTTACTCCCGCGGGGAATAGAACCTCCGAATTAAGCAGCAACCCACCGGGCCATCCTATACCCAATCGGAAGGTATAATGCAGTTAAAACAAATGCAATTTATGGAACTTTCACTGAAGTTGGGATTTTCAGTGCAAAGGATGAAGCAAAAATAAAATTTATTGCAATGGAAATAACAACCAAAGATTCAAATAAATTAATTTTAATGCTTTAAAAAGTTATTTTATCCACACTTTATTAAACTTATATGCAATAAATTTTATTTTTGAAACACTTATTTTTGAAATACTGCGAAACACTTTTTTTGCTTAAATTTTTCGTCAAAATGGCAAATTCTCTTTTAAATAAAAATTAATGAAAATCTCAATTATGAAAAGTAATTTATCAATCCATTTATAGAATTTACTGATAAAAATAAAGCGAAACGAAACATTTTCCGAAAAGGATCATCCATAAATTGTGCGACGATTCAGTAATTTCCTAATATCATAACTTTTATAAAAATACACAAAATTGTAAACAAATGATCTTAAAAAGTGTGAAATTGAAGAAGCCGACCGAGATTTCGGTTAAGCACGGCCCTTCTTTATTTGCGGCCCAACAATTATTCGAACCACTTGACGAAAATTTCAGCAACAATTGCTCGAGAATTATAATGTACGCAAATGATAAACGTTTCGGCGAATAATGGATGACTTTAAATCTCAGCGAATATTATAAATAGGTTTACAGGTCTTAAATTTAAAAATCAGAGCGCCGCATGGAGACGTCTTTCCCTTGTGGCCATTGCAGTCTGTCTAACCAGTAATGATGAGAGCTGTTGGAAGAAGAAGAATAAAGAAAAATTCCTAATTTAAAATGTTATTCAAAAATCTAAAAAAATTTCACTCGATGATTAATAATTTATTATTCGAAATTAATTGCCATTAAAAAATTATTTACATAAAATAAAATATTTGTATAAAATACTTTTTTTGTATTAATATTATTATATATACAATAAAAAATTGGAAATAAAGGGCTTTCGAAAGAAGAAATATGATATTGGAAAGATTGTATATTTTATATATATAAACAAGCATCTTTATCCACATTAGACAGAATTCTAGGTGCAGACTATGTAAAAATGCTCCAGAAATATACCAACGCATAGTGGCAGGATGTAAAATGCAAGCAAGAATAACATAGACTGAAAGGCATAACGAAGTAACTGGCATCATCTACAGGAACATCTCGGTATAGGGTTTAGACCCTCTCAAGACTAAATGGCGAAAAATAATAAGATGCTTCTCCATTCAGACAAATAAACAAACAAAGACAACACACAAATAAATACTGCCCAATCAACCATCCATATATCGTATTAGTAGACAAGAATCAGTACTAATAACAGATATAGCAATACCAAATGACAGTAACTTCAGGAAGAAACATGAGAAGTTAGAAGAATATCGAGGACTGAAAGAGGAAGATACGGAAATGAAGACCAAGGAAATTCTAATTGGAGCATTTGGAACTATGATTTTTAAACTAGAAAAAGTGACTTCAACAAATCACAGGAACAACATTAGGAATCCCTATCCAGAATACCACACTATTAGGAACTAAGGCAAGGCACTGCACAGAACCCCCAATCTCTCAGGCCTTTAGTAAAGGACGCAAGGTTGAGGATGATCATGATCACAAACAACCGACAAACGGGGGAGAGAAAAATAAAAGTATAAATAATATTTTCGAAGATAATTTGGAAAAAATTTGGAAGAAAATTTGGCGGTTGATCATGTAAAGTCAATAATCCATTGGCTTTTGCCGTTCTGCATGATAATTACGAAATTTTTCCGCGCACCTTATTAAGCACAAATTAGCCCCAAAGAATCACATTAAAAGCGAAATAATAACGTAGTAATGAAATATGCAAAATAATGTATAATGAAATATGAATTAAAATAATCAAATTTATAAAATATATTAATTCGAAAGTGACTTTGCACAATTAATAAAATTTGCGCGGAATTCGTAATTTTCATCGCGAAAAAATGGTTGATTCAAAGATGGAAAATTTCATTATTATAATTCCATTTACGATGACCAAGGAGTAAGTCAAACCAGGTCGAATGGAATAGAAAATATTTAAAAAGAAATTTAAAATATCAGTGAATAAATAAATTGATAGATGCATGAAATTAACGGCAATTTCAACGAGCAGTCTCGAAATGAACAAGGTCGACAACAAGACGCAAGAAATTATTTATTTAACCGAGTAGAATGCAAGATGATCATGGACTTGGCTGTGCTTTTCATTCTGAATTGCTTCGCTCGTAGCAAAATTATAAAAAAATGTATCAAAAAAGCAGATCTATCTACACTTCTGCCCTCAAGCCGTTCTCCAGGAGAAGAGTTTGAACCCAATAGCCATTACAGAGTAAGTCAAGCCGGGTGATCGTCAACCACTAACTAATTAAAATTGTGGACTTGATATGCAGTTTGCAATATTAGTCTCTATAAGATAAGACATTGTCTACAAAATTCATTTGAAAAGACCTTCTTAAAATAGATTCAATAAACAGAAATTGTTTATTCGACCGAATTTGTATTAATATTTTAATTCATCCTTTCCAAGTCAGATTTGCAGGATTTTTCTCATAATTTGTCGAACACCATCTTATCACCAGCGATTTATTCAAATCTCTCAGCTAAAAAATCGAAAATCATTAAAGATAATAATTAATAATAATAATATTAATAACAATAATAGTGATAACGCATAAGACGACAGGTTTTCCCGTCTTTTGTTTTAAAAAAATTATTTAATTGCAAAAAAATGAATTTATAAGTGGACAAAATAAATGAAGAAATGAATTCTTTTTTTGAATAGAATATTCTAAACACACTCGGTGGATGCTGAACGCTAGCTTACTTATTTTTACTTATGAGCCGAGCAACGATTTCCCCAAAAAATAAATTTATCACAAATGTTTTGAAATTGAATAGCAATGGTAAGAAGGTGGTAAGCACTGATAAAAAATTTGCTTCGGAAAAAAATTTGGGTAAATTTTAAAAAATTCTCACACATCAAGTACATTGAACGAATTTTGCGAAATTTAATTTGAAATTTAAAATAAAAAATCGATGAAATAAAGAATTTCTATGAAAAAAATAGTAA